GAGGAAGTGTGGGAGTGGGGCCCTCATGTCTGGCACATCCCGATGTCATGTGCAAGGGTCAACAAGCCAGGAGAAACTTTGAATTGCTCTATGTAAATTCGAAATACCTTCTCGTAACGTATAAACCCAGGAGTTGTTCAGTGAACGTACCCACGTTTTGAAAAATGACCATTTAAATTATTTAAACATAATAACGGATGTAAAATTACACATTTTATATTTTTTATAAATTTGTATTACAATTATTTTTTATGCTCTCACCAATAACTTCGTATTTTAATCGAACTAGTTTTGAATATAATGTGCTGCTTTGTATCCGTCATTATGGATTGTTTTTTGATGAAAGGCGATTTAAAGTGTGAGAGCTGTAATGCTCGGATGAAAATTTAATATCATGAAAACAATTGAAAACGCAATGATGCGAACATTTCATTATTTTCAGTTATCGTCAAACTTTTCAAAGGCGATTACGGACTCAAATATAGACTGTGAGCGCACAACGTGAATAACATAATTTTAAGTTGAATATCATATCTAATATTAATTCTAGAATTAATACAGAGATTCTTAAGAAGTTAAACACCTATTCTATGATGTCCAGAATATATGTGAATGCAACACCATTAAGAATAAAGTATTTTTCTCATTACATGTTTCATTGAGTTACCAAATAATGTATCGTGAATTACGAGTTACAAAATAATGTATCGTACATAAACAATAAGAACCTGCGTAACAGTAGACAGGTAATCCTCGCTTTAAAATAAATGTATTTAAGACAATGGATATATTGAATTCAATGATTTAATACAAAAATATCACCTACATCGAAACGCAGGGCCAAGTAGCGCAATAAGAAATGAGCTCAAAAGTTGGAGAAGATGCACGTACGCGAAGAAGACGCGAAGAAGACGAGAGAGAAGATGAGATAGAGTATGAAGGAGGAGTGAGCAGAAAGAAGCAGTACGAAGAATAAATATGCGAGTGGAAAAGAGCGGAAGGAAAAGGAGGGGAGTTCGGGTGGAAGGCAGTCGGGGTGAAAAGGAGAACCCAGCAGGAGAAGATGAAGAAGAAGGAGGAGGAGGAAGAAGAGGAGGAGGAAGAAGAGGAGGAGAAGGAAGAGGAGCGAAGGAGGGTTTGGAGCAGGAGGAGGCATAGGAGACGGCAGAGAGTGCAGAGGAGGCGGCGTAGCGCCGCGATGGTCTTTTCCCTTGAGTCGGCGATGGTGCTGGGGATGTTATGGGAGCAGCGGCGGGTTTTTTCACCGAGGTGGCGACGGCGGCGGCGGCGGCGGGCGTGTAATATTGGGAATCGAAGCAGGGTTCACGCTCCAACGAGCCCCTCGGCGCTTACTTCCGCGCCGGCGGTCGGCGGCTGCCGGCTGCTGGGCAAAGGGCGCGCAGGCGGACCAGGTGGACGGACGCGGACGGGGGGCAGCGAGCAGTCGAGGGGATCGACAAACGTTTTAGGATAATAAGCAAACTCAGATTACTTCTAATATTTACTTAGTGCGTCGCAATATGGAACAAAATAAACTATTCAGATCAAGTAAGATACTAGTACATTATGAATATAAAGGTACGCTATTAGTGTGTGTAAACGATGCATTAAACCAAGTGATATTACATTATCGGTTCTGAATCGTTCTCGAAACAAATTGTTTATGACGTTGAAAAAATTAAATTCTAATGAGGAAGAAATTAGATTAATTGAACGTTTCTTCAGAGCAAGAAGTTAAAACAATAGTAACATGAAAACAGACTATTGTTTTTGTGTAACTTAAATATTTCGTAAAACACATACTCGCATTTTCCAAGGAGGAATTTTAAAACAAAATAATATTTTATAATACACATTCCAAAATAAAGGAAAAAGAAGGTGCCTTTTGCAATGATATTTTACAAAAACAGAGACACACTGTCACAGAAAAGTCTTGAAAATTGGGAGGGCCTGAAAAATTATGGCACGATAAGCAACTAACTGGAAAATGCGAAGGCGGCGCAAAGAGGAAAATATAATAAAACGCCCTCTGGCGCGGGCGCGGGAGCGAGCGCGCGCGCGCGTGAAAGAGGAGAAGCAAATCGAAGGCAGCAGCTCGCTTGAAGGGCCTCGCGCAGAAGGGCCGACGACCCACGCGGCGCGGCGCGGGCTGAGCGGAGGGCGGAGGCGGCGGCGGCGGAGGCGGTGGCCTGCACGATGGGCCCGGCACCGATTCCAGCTGGCCGGGAAACGTTTCACAGAGATGGGTGAAAGGTCTTTTGCCTGTGTCTCTTTTGACATGGTGTATAAATAAAGGGATGGCTACTGGTACAAATTATTAAAATACCATTTAAAATACGTAATATAAATTTGTTTTCATGAGCTTTTGAACTTTTGTATGAAAGTATGTATTTATCTTCCTGAAATTAAAAACAGAACTCAGGATATTTCAATAGTACTATTTTTCATATTTCAAAAACGTTTTAGAAGGTGAAACTACACACAGAACGTAAAAACAAATATTCTTTATCTAATTTATTTTAAGACGTTTTGTTTTCGTATTACATTTCATTTAATCATTTCAAGAAGGCTACTTCGTCAGTCAAGTGTAGTTGGAGTGGCCCACATCTGCTTGGCCCGTGCAGTTTCTCGGGCTGCGTTGGAGTCGCCGCCTGGCCGCGCGCGGAGCGCATGGGTGAGAGCGAGATCCCCCCCCCCTCCTGTTCCCGCCCGCGGCCGCGTAATCCGCCGCTCGTTAAGTGGCGATTGCCGCCTGCGAGGAGCCCCCGCGCAATCCCTCGCTCGCCTCCCCCCCCCCCGCACCCCGCCCCAACCCCTTGGCCTCCGCAGGCGCCCGCCCTCCGCCAGCGCTCCCACCCACGAAGGCGAACTGCCACCGTCGCCTTGCACGGCTTCTCCTCGCAATAGCAATTACACGTTTCCGCTAACACATACACTACGCGCTCCATCCTCGCTGCCTACTCACGCATTGTTGCTCTCTGTTCGTTTATTATAATGTCCCCAGCACTTTTGAAGTCTATTTCTTACCACCTTACTCTTGTTTACTCATTCAGACGTTATTTTTATTTGTCTTGCTCTTCTTACTTTGTCTTGTTTCTCGGAATTCACTGAAATTGAGCTCTTCATTCTCATTTTTACAATTCATTTTATTACAATTCAATTTCTAATTTACTCTTCGCCGTTATTTTTTGTTCCTCCACTCACACACGAATATTTGTCAGCTCACAAGTGATAACGTAATCTAATATTTCAGCACGTGATTTTGGTCTTCCTCCAATCTGTCGGTTTTTTATTTGACACCTATATCAACCACGATTTTGGAGAATTTAGGGTAGCAGTACAGCCAATCTTTTCACCTCCTTCCATCTCATCCCCACTCACATCCTCCTGAATCGCATCTCCTCGTTCGACACCCTGTCCCTCCACGTGGCTACATCTCCCCTCCAACCTCTCTCCAGGTCGTTTCCAGCCTCCGCCGCGCCCTCCTCTGCGCGCCCGCTCCGCTCCAGGAGACGCACTTGGAGCAATTTTCCGCGCGAATCGACCTCCGCCTCAGAGGGCGGGGGCGTTGCGGGCGGCGCGGGCGAGGGGCGACGGGGCGACGGGGCGGTGGGTGCGGAATGCGCGTTCCGGCCGCCTCTTCGCCTCCAGGGGGCGATTGGCTACCGCCCAGCGTTCAGCCACTCCACTGAACGTCCCGCCGGCTCCCCAAAGTGGCCCGTTTCCGCCCAAAATTTGCAATATTTTCAAGTTCGCTTTGCGGTTTTCTGCTGTAGGCCACATGAATATACAACGTATCCTATTGTACGAGTACAACGTTTATAGGTCTCAAATGTTATAGATGGGTATTTTAAAAGATTTTTTATGCATTTCTTGCGGATGCACCCTTTTTATTACAAGTAGCACATAACACGGTTTACTACTGTTTGATTCGTATTTGCATCGTATTGCCTCCCTCATTCCAAAATTTGACAAAAATGCTGCATTAAACATGAAAAAATAGAAATAGTTTTCATTAGAATTTCACCGCATTCCTGTAATTTTCATGAGACTGCACTTCTTGTAGTTTTAATGTACACTGCATTAAATGCAGTAAATGCGCAAAAATTATTGTGTGTATTTTCGCTTAAAAAGTTGTAAGCACAAAACCCTAATAGTCGTAAAAGTAGATTTTTCTTCTCGTCTTTACCAAAGTTTACACTACTTCTTTATCAGTAGCACAACTAATAGATAAAATATGATGTCTGAAAATACCTGTAGATCATACTCGCGGCTCTGAAGCGGTATTTGTGATAACTAATAAAATGCGTCCTTCGTATTGGACAAAACTTTGTTGTGTTTATTCAAATGTGTTTTTATCAATTTTCAGTGCTAATGAGCGTAAGGTTACACCGAAATTTGATTTTATCGCATGTGATAGAAGGTTTTGCAATGAAACTAAGTTGCTTTTTATTCACTAGTTTTAAAATATTCTTCAACACCACGAAATTAAAATATTTGGTACTTATGTAAACATTTGTGAAACCTAATTAACGCTTTCTTGTTTTGTTGCAGGTGGGTTAAACACACTTATCCATCCACAAATGGTGCAAGGGTGTTCACACGCACAAACAGCACAAGTATGTATATCTCTAAAATATTGTTACATCACACTCTTCAAACTCTGCTTTTCCATTTTATATCATAGGTGCTTGATATACACTCATAATCGGTAAATTGAATTATATATTGCAAAAGGATCTACACAAATTCATTAAATTTGCATTAATTTAAAACTACTTTTATATGAATCCCTAAAACAAAATTTTACTCACTCCATTGTTTTAGAATTATTTAAAAATATATCTCGACCTCTGACAATTTTGAAAACTTCCATTCTACTATGAGTATTTGATTCAAAAACGAACACAAATCAGAGAACATTTGTATTCCGTGCAAGCAGCAAATGCAGAATGTGAAGTACAAGTCCTCGAATAACTGATTGCGTACTGCGCCACCCAATGAAATAGAACCTAGAATCACCGCAATACATATTCCGAGCCGTCAGACTGACCAAATGTGAAAAAAAATACTTTTTTGAGTTCCACATGGATTACAATCTTTCTTTACCCACAATCACACCACATATTGCTTCCATTATCAATCGCAGCGTCGAAAAACCAGCAAAGAGAGGAAAATCTAAAAACACGCGTTACTACGCGAACGAGCGATAAATTTCAATTCCGCACATTGCAGAAGTAAAAAAATGAATGTTTGCTCCGCGCGTAGAAGTAAAAAGAGCGCATAGGGTTGGGAGGAGGGAGGGAGGCGAGGTGCTGACGTGGCCACCGCAGCTGGACCGGTGCAGCGCGCGACTGGGCGCCAGATGTGCGAAAGTAGGCTGCGATCGCGCCCGCGCCGAGATCACACGTCCCGCGCCAAGCGAACCTTTTGCGCAGAATACATTTGCGACTCGCGGTGACAGAGAGGGAGCAAGGTTGGGCGGCGTTGGCAGGCGGCGGGGCGCGGGGGCCGTGCGACACGCAATTTCTCGCTGAACCGAACCCGCTCGTGTTTACCCACGGGGTTTTTGAACGGAGCGGCAGTCCGCCCGCAGCGGACAGGTGCGCCGGGTGGTGGGGCGCGAGCGTCGTTCGCCATCTACCGCCTCTTCATTGGCGAATAATTACTGTTTTATTAATTCAGTTGATGGAATGTTGGCGCATCAACTTCAATTATATTAGTTACGGCGCATTCGTATTGTGTGGTTTGGAAGCAATTTATTTTATACTCAACTACGCAATTTTAATTAAGTAAGAAAATATTGAGTACTGCTGTCTCGAAAACTAAATGTGAAAATTAATCAATTATATTTTTTAAACAAATGGTATACTTACATAAAAAGTAGAATAACAGTAATAACCGTTGTAAATGTATCCGACAAGTTGCATTGTTTTCACATTTCGTACAGCAAGAGTCACGCATGTAGTTTTTAAATGGTAGTATGTTAAGTAGTATATTATCAATAACGTTTCGATAATTTTTGAGGAAATTTAATGGGATAAAAATACAAGTAAGTTGAATGAATGTTTCGAAAGAAAACTATCCCTTAGCCAACTGCTGTAATATTACTATTACACAAAATTCAATTATTTTTGGATCAGGGAAATGTCAGTTTTTATTACATTTTATTATTTATATCTTTTATCTTTAATGCCCATAAAAAATAACACATGTTTGTATATAAAAACACACGTATACACTACACCTTTCGTGCCTATTGTTTCACACCCGATTAGATTTTTTACATTTTACTAGAAACTTCAATTTTGATTTCTAAACAATCAGCCGTTAAGAACATAAAAATGAAAATTATGTATTTTCCGAACAATCACCCACTATAAACATTAAAAACTGATTATAATTAAATCTCTGTTCCTTGCTTGGAAACCTATGACTGCACGTGTGACAACACTGTGCGCGACATCATATTATGATGAACCCCTCTCCACTCTAATACTACGAATAAATTGGTTCCACGATCCAGAGCAAGACTTTAAAGTAAGGATCTTAATGCAAATGGTTACTTTTGTCACGAGTAAAGGAAATCCTCTTTCCAACAGAAACACTAATCTGTTAGATTGTAAAAGCACTCTTCGATCAAATTTCTCTAAGCAGCGACAACACTCATACCAATATTCTTAGTTCTGAGTTTCACCAGGAATAAGTCGTGTTGTTTGCAGGAGAATGCCTACTTATCTATTCTTCTAACTGAAGAGCCTCCTTGTTTTTCTTCAATATCCTTTTCCGGGCCGCACGCAACCACGAGAAGGGAAATTCATTCCGCATATCTTTGGGGGAAGTTTTGACAGACGTGTTTAGGGAATGGAAGGAAAGCGAAATTCCCCGGGAAAGGAACACGTTCTCGAAGAAATAATTTCTTAAGCTCCTCACCCTGCGCGATGTGAATGACAGTTCGCCGCGGAACCAATCTGAATTTTACGCGTCTTACATCAAAAGTCTCTCCCTCTCCACACTGCGTCGCCGGTCGTTTCAACAAAATGTCGATTTTCAACGGAATGGAAACTGTCCACAAAACATGTACGACGTTTTTTGCATGTCGAGAAGGCCGATGCTGATACCTGAAAATAGCGATGCAGAGTCTAAGAAATCCTTCAAGGATACTTGTCTTTGTGTTTATGCGCAACTCAAACTTCAAAACCTTGCATGACGACAGGAAATGCAAACCTGCCAGCACAATAGACGAGCAAATATTTCATGAAATTGGCTAACGTTCTCCGCGCAAACCTCGCTGCTTTCCCCGGAGTCGCAAAACGTAATTTCCGGAAGTTTCGGCTTCATTTATAAAGCAATCGACGCATTGTCGTCGCGTCGCTGCGCCGCCGCTGCCAGAGCGAAAAGGTCAGAGGTCATTGCCGGCGGCGGCGCTAGGGCAGCAGGGCGAGGCGGCGCGCGCTCTAGTTTCTCCTGGTGCCGCTAGCTGCCGCCAGATGTGCTCTTACGACCGCGAGGTCTAGCGCTCTACGAAAGAACTGCTTGTGGCTTGGAAAGGTCTCCGCTAGTGGGCGTAGGGAGGTGGAGATGCACAGAAGCAAGTCATGATGAATGGTGTAAATTATTTTATTTTATTTTAAATATACAGAAAATAATTTTAAATTATTTTTTGTATTCAATGTATTGAGAGATTATTACTTAAAATATTTATTAAATACTTCTATAAATAGCTTACAAATGAGTAAGAAAAAAAAAGTTTCAAAAACACTTTGTATCACACTTTTCTTTGTGTATTTTAGATTTCTCATGAAATATGTTTCCATGAAAGAGGTAAAAACTCAATTACAATGTAAATAAGCATATTTTAGTGTTTTAGGCAGGTTGTAAGTTTAATTTAATAGGTTATAAATGTCATTTTCTGAAACATTAGTTTCTATAGGAAAGATAGAACTGTAAAATGTTGTATCATCGCGTTACTCGAACTTTTAAGGGTATATATTGAATTTTTAACTTAAATTTTCGAAGTTAATAATGTAAAGTGTTGATAAATTTATATAAATTAATGCATGGGAAAGTTCTCTTCATGATATTTTATTTCAGTTATCTTTTCTGTGGAAAATCTTACAGTTGAGTGATCAGCCTTTCTTTTCATTTGCTTTCAAGGGAAGTCTGTAAATATAGTGGGACGAAATCCATCTCTCGTATTAATAATTCATCATAATGACTAGTATAACACCAATTTCTTCAAATTAAATTTAATATATTTTTTTATTTTAAACTTTATTATCAAAAATAGTTTTGAACTGTGGTCCTCTAGGTATTTATTTTACTAATTGATATTAGATTTAGTCGAATCTGAGAGTGCCAATTAATTTCACCTTCTTATGTTGTCTCCAATCATCGACGTTGTACATCCCTAACGCGCGTCAAGGCGTGGGATACGTAATCCTTCCGCGTCCGCAGATGTCGAGCTCCGAAGCGTGCGAATGCAGGGCGTGTGCGCAGCGCAGACTACCGTCAGAAACGTTCAAGTGCGATTAGCGCCCTTCCCCCCCCCCCCATGGGGGCACAGAAATTGAGACACCGAATTGCCTACCAGGAACTACACCCATGCCGCCTGATGGCGCTCCAATAGTACCGAATGTAAAAGCGACATGGTCAATTTGTAATTTTTTTATTACTTATGGAGACATTCTATCCAAAAAAATATTTTTTGGCAGTATATCTTTAACCCAAAATTAATGTATGCAAAATATCTGGAGTTTATGACTTCATTCAGTTACTCAAGCTTTACGAAACTTACGTGGTGAATTATACTGTAGTTTAGCAATAAATATTGTTTTAAAGTTTATCTTATACACGCATTCACCAGACAAAAATAACGGAGCATTGCGGTTCGCCGAAACTCCGGGGCGGGTGGGCTGAGGAGAGCGGCCTGGAGCGGGGCCGAGCGCGCAGGGCCGCGTGCGGAGGCTGCGTTCGCAGGGGAAGTTGACGGAGGGGGCGCCGGGCGGGTAGTTGCTAGTCAACTTCCGGAGCCCTTTGTGCGGCGCTGCACGCGCCCCGCGCGCGTACGCCCGCGACACTGCCTCCACACGCGCGGCGGACGAGCGGGACGCGCCCGGGGAGGCAGGCAGAGGGACAGGCAGAGGGACAGCACATGGGGGCGGAATGGATTCGCAGACGTAGGTCCCACGAGCAGAAAAGGTCCCGTCGTACGATGGCACTCGCAAATGGAGCTCTATGCTGGAGATTCTGGATAGTATTCAACACTCTGTCCGTATTTAACCCATTGTGACAGGATATAAGTTGTCTATTTTTTGGAGGGGGGGGGAAGAAGTTGACACAAAAATTAAGTGTTCTACTCATTAATTTACAGTGCAAAACAAACAAATAAATGAACTCATTTTATTTGTTTTGTATGATATTGTCCGGTCGATGTGTGTAAATACATAGCTTCATTACTTTAGCATGTCATTAATTGAGAGGTCGGAGGTTTGGTCACGCTAAGGTAATAGAAATTGACTTGATGTAACCGGTAAGTTTGCGGCGTCTTTCAGATTTGATTTCGAATGCCGACTGCTCTGACAAATTCTTGCTTGATCACATTCAGGATAATACCCTAGAACCCTGGCCACAAACTGTGCGCGATTCTCCCTTCCCCCTTCTGCCCTCATTTCCGTCCTTTCTGTTCAGTGTTGCATCGGTCACCGATCACCGTAAGGTACGTCAAATTAAGTCAAGAAAATTTCCGACAAGCTGCGAAGACCGGGAATACAGCGTCATTGTGAGACTACTTCGTGGTTCTGAATATGTCTCGTTGTTAAAAAAGACGATAATACTATGAAATGCCGGGTAAAATATTTTATCAGACCATTATATAATTTGACGAAGTGGAATATCGCATGGCGCATTGACGTTGCTTGATGTCGGTTTGTGCGCTTTGACCTGAATATATCAGCAGTGGTTTTGGCAAACAAACAAAATCGACCAAAACCTAAACATTAATCACTAATCTAACCATTAATCCATAAAGAAGCCCATCATACTGAATATTGAATTATTCCAGGTCACTACCAGACTAATTCGATTGTACTGATTTTGTTGTAAAAAGCGAAAGATTTTTCCATCCACATGCGTCTCGCTGAATAGGTCGTAATTTTCACAGGCCAAATATGAAACTGTACCGAGTGAAAGAGACTTACAGAATAACATTTTATAACATCAGTTTGTGAAGAGCCAGAAATAAGGTAACTCTATTTTAGGTAGAAAGATAGATCTGATTTTCCATTCATCTATCAAGGCGATGATTTAATAACTCCAAACCAAACTTGTACTAAAAAAATATAGGTGAACAATATTATTTTGAAGGAATGATATAAAGAAATTGTATCCAATTAGTAAATACATTGACCAGCTCTGTGAACACTCAAACTGTGGACTCACAAACCCTCTTGGGTCGAGCTACTTCCGTGGGGTATTTGAATACCGCAACATCAAAAAACTGACAACGAAGAATTAGGCAAGAAAAAGGTGTACAAAAACAGATAAGCTCATACCTGTTTCGTAAAGTAAACTCGATCAAAAATAGCGCTCACAATAAGGCAGTAATGATTCTGCCAACGATCACCAATACACGAAGTTCATTGCGGCAACGTGAGCTATGAGTGGCGTGTGCAAAAGCGGATTTCTCGGAAAGCCTTGTGATAAATAATATAATTTCAATGACATCATTAGTTTTCATCACTCGTAATTCAGACGAAATCCGAGAACGCGAGTAGGCCCAGTACGTGGTTGCCGTGCGCCTTCTTTGTCATAACATTGGTGAGTTACACAGATGCTCGCGCGGGATAAGCAGATCCTTCTAGCATCACTGCAAAGCTACAACTTGCAAAAACAACATTTACGTAATGCAACAAAGCAGAATTGAAAAATGCATTAACTGGTTTGTGTCAATAATAAACAAACGTAGATTATTGGATATCCAAATACCCCATGCGGGTACTAGAGTGTTAAAGGCTTTCAGAGAACATTATGGTACGGAAACCACTTGCAATGAGCACAATGTGCTTAATACGAGTGACAGAAATATTCGGAGCGACAAATAAATGTTAGGTTTAGTGAATTGCTTGTAAATAATATTTAATACCCTCATTTTCATTTTAAAATATTGTATAATTACTCGTAACTTTGTTCTATATGCACATATTTCTGAAGAATAAACCCTTCAATAGTAAGTGTTAATGTGGAACGAAATGAAACAAAAGACTCGCAAGAACAATAGTTAGCCGGTCGTGATGGCCGAGATCGTTAAGGGAGTATTGCCATAGCAATCTTGAACCAAAGGATCGCGGACTCGAATTCCTTCGGTCATGGTTGTATTTGCGTTCATCCTTTCACCCTCTATCATCACCATATCATTTACCTTCATGCATTTACCTTAAATGCAATAGTGGTCGCTAATGAGCTAGATGTTGATGCGACCTTAAGTAACAAAAGAACAATAGTTAATTTCCTTAGCACTGTCATTATTTCGTTATTCCTCAATTCTCCTGACCACAAAGGCCAAATAATTATTCTCGGATGAACTCAATATTGACTGAGTTTTTGACATTGTTTTGAAGGACATTTTAAATTATCATTGCACAATGTAGTTCTAGTCTGATACGCAATGAGAATTTTCAATTTCAAGGAAAGAATATTTCTATTCCGCTGCCGATCCACTGAACTGAGAATTAATTATAAAATTTTGAGTCTATACTATGAGCACCACACAGCCCTCATTTTACTTTATTTATTATCTTAAATTTAAGAATTGGGTAAAAGGCAATGACTGACTACAACTGACTATGACTGACTAGGTTAAAGGAAGTTTGTCAATTTATTGATTATTTAATACTATATTAAAGTCATTTATTGAAGAACTATATCTTTAGCGTGAAATACTGATAAAATATATTTAGAATTAAGTTGCTATGGTTGTTACATATTCGTATGTACATTCATATAAAATTATATTTGATGTTGTTTTTAAATGAAAATACAAAATTTTTGAAGCGTTACGCAAATAAGTTAATTTAAATAAATGTTAATATCTTGAAAATATTACTCCATATTATACCTCTACCCATTTGATCATTAATTTTGGGTATCTGTATTAAAAAACAGTTCGTGACACCTGCAATTTAAATTAATTAAGACAGTCAAATTATTTATCTTTAGAGAAAATACTTCTTATGAAAATATATTCTTATGATGCAAGCGCATGCACAAACTGAAGACCCATTGCTCTTGACAGAGTTATCGACCAGGTTAGCGCCTGCCACCCGACATCCTGCAGCGGCACGTAATAACTCATATGTACGTCGGGTTGCGTCACACAGGCGCTCCATTACAACTCGAGAAAGCAGCGGTTTTACACAGTTCTGAACGTAGTTAGGACAAATCAAAAGTGGGGTAAATGAAATTTTAATTTGCTCACACATTCAAGAGTATTCCAAATGTGAACTCTAACAATTGTCTGCGATTGCGTACGATGGAAGTAGAACAATGAAAATCCTATCTCCTCTAAAGACATTTCATTTAAATGCCACCGAATACTATCACTT